GGGGCGGGCAGAGGGCGCCGCCGCCGCTCCCGAGCGGGCGGCCTCGGAAGCGAAACCGCGTCTGGGCCGGGGCGAGCCCCCCGCGCCGCCGGGTCCCGCTGTAGCGCGGGGGGAGCTTCACGGTCCCTCTGGGGGTTCCTTCGGGGTTTTCCTGGCGGTTGTGCTTTGGGGACCTTCCCCGAGGCCATTTTATGTTTCAAAAAAAGGACGAAGGTTGAAAAGCACTTATCTCCGTTCCTTCCGAAGGGGTAAAATGGCGAAGGGGAAGCAACACCCCCATCGTATCTTCGACTAGCAGAAGCACCGAAAACAAACGCAAAAAAGCCCCCGGTGGTCACAGTGCCCCCCGCCCCGCTGTCGCCTTGAAATTTGCCTACTTCCCGTTTGTCCGTTTTGGGTTACTTGCGATCACGTAGGTTTGCAAAAAGCAGTCACACAAATAACCTTTTCAGTCACCCACGCAGCGTGGCCCCCCGTCCACCCCACTGGTATTTTTGTTGTGACACTACAAAGCACGTTTTTGCCCGGTCCCGAGAGCCGCAGGGCAGCCCGCGGCCGCCCGACTCCGCTCCGCGGGCGACTCGGCGACCCATCATGGCTGCGGCCGCCCGCCCCGCTTTTCAGTCCCCGAGCCTGTGGTCCTCCTCCCTTTGGCTGCCCTGTTTATATAGAGCCATTGCCGCTCTCTAATATAGACTCTGCCAGGATGGGAAGGTGCTTTTCAGGCCTACGTCACCGCCTCTCCATTTAAACACCAGATCCGGCTTTAAATAGTGAGAGCTGCCGAGCGCGGGGCTGGGAGGTGCGTGCTCCCGAGGCGAGAGCCCGGCGCGTGCAGCTCCGTGTATTTCCAGGTCCTTTGCTTAGCGCCTCGTTCCGCGCCCGGCGGCGGCGGCGGCGGCTTTCGGAGCCCCGAGTTTTTGTTTGGATGCTGCTGCTAGGATATGCCGCCTTTGTTTGTTAGGGAAAATACACTCGAATTGCTGTCCTTGTCTGTACTTCGTTTTTAATTTTTTCTTTGTTGGTTCTTCAAGAGAATTTGAGATCGGTTTTTTTTTCTGTTGGAAGGTGTGTGCAGTCTTTTCCGGCATTAAAAAAAAAAAAATGCTTTCTACCTAAAAGTGTTAGCTGCAGACGACTTGGTTTGGGTAGTATCTTATTCAAGTATTCAGGAAATATGTTAGAAATGTAGCTTCTAATGTTTCATTATGTTTTCCTGTAATAAATACAAAAGGGACGAGGCTTTTCAAAGATATAGGTGTCTAAAGCATCAGAATAAAGCCTTTTGTTCACAGGACATTTATGTTAGGGGAATTGTAATTAAAGGGAGGACACTTACTGCAAACTGGATTTTAATTAAGTGAAATTTGAAGTAGAACTTTATTGCATTGGATATTAACAGGGTATTCAGGAGGAAAATTAATCCAGTTTTCTCTTACAATGTTGCATCCGGGAACTAACACTTTTGAAAGAAATCTTTTAATCAGTCATTTGATAATGCCACTAAGTGGCTCTCTAATTTGCCCGTTTTTAAGTTTGGAATATCAGAATATCTGTTTTTTAAAAAGCTGGACAAACCTTAATTACTTTGTATTTAGTAAAAGACAAAAACTTAGACTCAGGTAAAGTGTAGAATTTTAAGTAATAATTTAGAAACTACTTTTCTTACATAGTGCCTATGTACCCACATACTTTTTAAAAATCAGTATCTTCTGGGCTTTTCAAATTGTGAACACTTTTGCTAAATTATTCTTCATGTATATTGTGAAGAATGCACATTTTTATTTTTTCTAATACAGTGCTTCTGAATCTGCTAAGTGGGTGAGTCCATTAAGGCAAAATCTTAAAGCATGATTGATTCATTAAGTAGAGAATATTAGAAGAAAGCAGGCTTGTACCTATACAGGTCTGGATCTCCAGGCAAAAGATTTTTTGAGGTAACTGACTTCAAAAACACCTAAACAACATCTCGTTTGCTGGAAAAGAAAAAAAAATACACACACACACACACACACACACACATAGTCAATGGAGATTTGTACTACCAGTTTAAAATATATTGCCTCTTTATAATGCCTTGAGGAGTCATTATTGGTAAAAAGCACTTTATAGGGTTTTTTTGTTTGTTTGTTTTTGGTAATTCTGTAGTTAAATCGCTTTTGGTAAGATGGTAGCCATAGTCAGATATACATTTCTCATGTATAGAATCAGTGTTACAGTGAGATGCACGTTTTACTGATGAGTAAAGTTCACAGAGACAGATTTGGCAAAATAAAAAAGCAGGTTAGTAACTGGAACAATAAGGGTGAAAACCTAGCTATTTGAATTTTTTCTGCTTGCAGTGAAAAGGAGTGATAGTTTGTTTTTTTTTTGAGTTGGAGTCTCACTCTGGCGCCCAGACTGGAGTGCCATGGCCGCTCCCGGCCACCGCAGCCTTGACCTGCTGGGCTCCGGCGATCCTGCTGCCTCAGCCTTCCAAGTAGCTGGAACTACAGGCGCGCGCTACCACGCCCGGCTCATTTTTGATTTATTGTAGAGATGAGGTCTAGCCAAGTTGCTCAGGTGGGTCTCAAACCCGCGGGCTCGGGCAATCCACTCACCTCAGCCTCCCAAAGCGTGGGATTACAGGCTGAGCCACCAAGCCCAACTCAGGAGTGATAGTTTTTAATAGTTGAGGTAAACAAAAAAAAAAAGGTAAACTCATTATTTGTATTTTTGGCTAGTCAAGGGCACAATGTCGTAGAGGTTCCCCTGTGATAACAGTATTGCTAATAGAGATAGTAATGAAACATTTATTTCTGTTTGAAGATTACTTATGAGAAACCCTTGGTTTTACTTGGTAGCTTTTACCTTAGCCAAGTATGAAACATGAATAATGACAAATATGTGAGAAAAGATTAACCATAACTGTGTGATCACAGATAGGATTTATAATGAGAGAACTCTAGTCTTACCATCTGATGCGCAGACTTTTATTTAACATGTTAAAAATAGGATGTGGGGAAAAAAATAGTATCTGGATTGTAGTAATTGTTCTATTTCCCACCTTTTGGTTTTTAAAAAATATTTTATGTTTTCCAAAGTTCTTTCACATCTATTCTCATTGTACTCATTTTATCCGTCTGGCAGCCTTCTAGAAGCCAGCTCCTCCATTCCCCACCTGCTACCTCAAGTAATACCAACAATAATAATAGTAGTAATAATTGGTAAAGTAAACATCAAAGATGTTCATGGCAGTGTTCCATAGCATCACCTGGACAATAGAAGGAGAGAAATCTGGGAAAGAGATCAGTGTTCCCTGGGATCTTGAGGCCTGTTATTGTTGGTGTATGAATAGTTGAATGGTATATTTGAAGGTATAGATTTGGTCAAAAAAACAGAAGTTAGGTGATTTTTAAGCTTGAATACTCATTAGGTAGACTAGGCAGATGACTGCTGGACATAAGGTTCTCCAAAGTCCAAGATTTAGTGGCATGGTTATGAGATACAACAGGGTTGAAACCAAGCACAGAAAAATAGGAGCCAGACACAAGGACCCATAAAGCTATTATTGAACATTACTTTAGATGTTTTGGCTATAACATAGGAAATTTTAACTGGAAATTGTATGGGCTTTGTATGCATAAGGGCTTTTTGCTTATAAATTGCATTAAATAGCCTTAAACCATCTATTAAAATATGCAGTCATCAAATCCAGTTCAGGGCAAATGATGTTTAGTAGGATAGCCATATCTTTTTTTTTTTTTTTTTTTTTTTTGAGTTGGAGTCTCACCCTGGTGTGCAGGCTGGAGTGCAGTGGCATGCTCACGGCCACCACAGGGACGGCCATATCTTTAAAGACATATATTCTAAAATAAGTTTAGATAGTTTGCAAAATGACTGTTGTTTTTGTTTTGGATTTGTGAAAACCTGTTGTGCATTATAATTTGTGGAAAACTACCTTTCTCAGTAGTCTTTTGTTTTTCCTTTAAAGCCTAAATTATACAGATCGGTGATTGAAGATGTTATTAATGATGTGAGAGACATCTTTTTGGATGACGGAGTGGATGAACAAGTCCTGATGGAACTAAAAACTGTGAGTTTGTCTTACCAAAAAAAAAAAGCAAGAAAAGATCTCCCCCCCAAAAAACAATATTTTTAACCAAAAATGAATCTATATTTTTCCCATAGGATGAACATTTGACTTTGTTGAAGGAGGCAGTGTATTTTTAGTGAAAGGTGCTAGTTTTTAATTCCAATTCTACCATTTATTCTTCCTCTGACCTTAGGCAAGCTACTTTTAAATTTCAGCTTCCTGTATGTAAGATGGGAATTGGTAGTATTTACTTTATAGGGTTGTTTTGAGAATTAAATGTAATAACTATATAAAATGCTTAGCTCATGGAGACCAAAGTGATGCCCAAGCTTTACCTGTATAGTGACTGTTTGTATACCTAACCCTGAATTGTACCCCACAACTTTAAAATAAAAATTTTTTTTAAATGCTTAGCATTGCCTGAGCCCGCAGGTTTGAGACCCGCCTGGGCAACTTGGCGAGACCTCATCTCTACAATAAATCGAAAAATTAGCCGGGCGTGGTAGCGCATGCCTGTAGTTCCAGCTCCTTGGAAGGCTGAGGCGGAAGGATTGCCGGAGCCCCGAAGGTTGAGGCTGTGGTGGCCGGGAGCGGCCACTGCACTCCAGTCTGGGCGGCAGAGTGAGAATCCAACTCAAAAAAAAAAAAAAAAAAAATGCTTAGCACAATGCCTGGCAAGGCATTGGCTATTATTATTAGACAGTTAATGTTACACATTTTTTATGGTGTAATTACTTGATATGCCTGAAAGAGGTTTTGTCTTTTTGTATGGTCTTAATGTACCTGTATTCTAAAATGTGTTTAAGTTTTAAGGATTGAATAAGTACTTGATAAACGAATTTTAGGTTTTTGAGTAGACTCTTTATGTGGGCCAAATGTTAGGTTTTAAAATATATTTTACATTGCAAGCTGGTTTTCTTTCTCTTGGATGTCTACAGAAGTTTTTTTTTTTTTATTAGCATATATGTTTTCCTGGTGTTGTAATGACTTGTGAAAATTGTGGAAAAGTCTGTCCTATTTGTTAAAATAGTGATTCTCAAAGTATAGTTCATATAGTTCATGGACTCCTGGGATCTCTCTAGAGGTTCTTTCAGGGAGTCCCCAGGCTAAATGCTCAAGTTTGAAAAATTATAGTTTGTCATTCTTTCAAGTACAAATTGTATTCTGTAAGAAAAGTGATCAGTCCAACTCACAGCTTAAATGCACAGGTGCTTTTGAGATAACTACAAATATACAGCAGAAATGCTTTATGCGTACTTCTCATTCTGATGAACTGAATGTTAAAAGATGTGTACTCAGGCGGGCTTGATGGCTCACACCTGTAAGGATCGCTTGGGCCCAGGAGTTTGAGACCAGCCTAGGCTATATGGCGAGATTTCATCTCTACCAAAAATAAAAAGAATTAGCTGGGCATGGTAGTGCATGCCTGTAGTCCCAGCTACTTGGGAGGCTGAGGTGGAAGGATTGCCTGAGCTGAGGAGGTCAAGGCTGTCGTGCCACTGTACTTCAGCCTGGGCAGCAGAGTGAAAAGTCAAAATATGTTGATAGTAAGAAATTGATTGTCTGATATTCTATAATGGTATGAATTTATATTTAAAAGATCTGTAATTCACTGAGCTTGTGTTTTCCCAATAACCAATACATAATGTTGGAAAATCTATTCAAAGAACAATATAAATTTATGGACCTTAACAGTATGAAAAGCTAATGGGTATATGGTTTCATATTCTACATTGCAGCCAACTTTTTTTTTTTTTTTTGAGTTGGAGTCTCACTATCACCCAGTCTGGAGTGCAGTGGCCGCTCCCGGCCATTGCAGCCTCAACCTGCTGGGCTCCGGCAATCCTTCCGCCTCAGCCTTCCAAGTAGCTGGAACTACAGGCGCGCGCTACCACACCTGGCTAATTTTTGATTTATTGTAGAGATGAAGTCTCACCAAGTTGCCCAGGTGGGTCTGGAACCCGCAGGCTCAGGCAATCCACTCACCTTAGCCTCCCAAAGTGCGGAATTACAGGCAGAACCACTGAGCCCGGCTTGCAGCCAACTTTTAAGAAATGATCACTTAATTTTCCTTTCCTAATGGCTTAACTGTAGGAGGGCAGATTTTCTTCATCTAATTCATACACTTCAACAAAGTGAGGCAGAGACAGATATGAGAATCCAACTCTTTAAAAGTCATTTCTCACTCATCTCATACATATAGTTATTTTCAGAAGAAAATATTATTTATGTTAACATGTAATGGATAATTTTTGAATGAATTGGTGAACATTTAAAAATAATCTTCATCATAATTTCTATTACTACAAATATAGGTAGATAAAACTCACATACACAAAAGCTCTTTGAGGTCCTCAGTAATTTTTGAAAGTGATAAAAGTTTCTGAGATTAAAAAAGTTTTAGAAATGCTGGTTTAGAAGTTGAATATTGGGCTCTTTTAGATCTATGTACAAATAGGTAGTAACAGTTAATAAATGCTGAGGAGTTACTTGGGCGTATTAGCGCATGCCTGTAGTTCCAGCTACTTGGAAGGCTGAAGTGGAAGGATTGCTTGAACCCAGGGGGTTGAGACTGCAGTGGTGGTGAGCATGCTACTGCACTCCAGCCTATGCAACAGAGTGAGACTCCGACTCAAAAAAAAAATGCCGAGGAGCATTTCTTGTGGTCTCATCCATTTAACATAGGTATGGAAGCTGCAACTTAGCAACTCATTATTTTATTTTATTTTTTATTTTTTTTGTGTCGGAGTCTCACTCTGTCACCCAGACTGGAGTGCAGT